TGTGTTAAATTAGTGATGAATTATCGCAAGCGAGCCTTTTTTTGCTTCCCTTCCAGGCGTACGCGTCTGTGAGCGTCGCTTTTGGCGCTCAGGCGGGTCGGGGATAAGTCTGGAAGGCGGAGAGCTGCCCGCTGGGGTGGCGGGCAGGCGCTCCTCCCTCCATCGCCTTGCTGGAAAGGCAATATTTTATTGATAATATTGCTTAAAAGGTGCTTTGGGTACGATTCACGTAAAATTCCCTTGTCTCAAACTGCGGAGACCCAACGTCAGCCCAAATAAGTGAATCAAAATGGGCTTTTTTTTCGGTTGAATCAAGTGAAACAGGAGCCCTGGGCGTGTTGTGCTCATGAGAGCTGGAAAAGATGGGATTGACTTCAGGCAGCTGCCTCTCCAGCCCTCGGTTGGTTATTGACTGATTTTAATACCAGAAAGGTTGCTGTGTGTTCTGTTTTTGGTTTATTCTCTAGGTTATTAGTTTGAGGATGCTGCTTACTAGTGCTGCCAGAGGTGCTTGGCTGGATCTGCTTGTCTCTAGGGGCCTGGAAAAGGGCAATATTAGATATAATCATTACAGGTGCTGAAAAACATGACATATTAAGAAGACATATAGCCAAGACCTTTGCTCTTCAAGATCCTCTGCTGACATTTTCCATGATTTATCTCAAAGCGGTGACCTAAGCTGAAATATTCAATACCCAGAACTAATTTATCCTATGCTGTTAAACTGTTTGTTTTCAGTGTCCTTCCAATTATTTTGATTTTTTTTTTCCCCATTATTTTTGCTTAATGATGAAAGAAAAACTCCATCCTCATTCATTAAGAAGCAAATAAGCCAGAAGGAAATCAATCAAATCATGTAAAATACTTTCAAATTAATATTTTTATTACGTCTGCACTGATGGGTTTTAATACTTATTTTTATTAATTAGCTAAGTGTGGTTTATGAGATGCAGTTACAAGCCTGGAAGCTTGGTAGAAGTAGCTCCTAATACTTTTTTTATAATGACTGAGCAATTGGAAGGAGGCTGGAGGGGGCTGTTTCTTTCACAGCAACACTTTGATTACACTGATTATGGACAGTCTTTTCTTTTGCTGTTGTTTGTCTTATTGTTTCTGCAACCTTGCCCAGTAATAAACTGGGATCATCTTGGCTGCAAGTCCCCTAATCCTGTTATTCACACTCGTGCTAAACCTTGGCTGTTGGTTTAACCTTTGGGGCTTTAACTGCTGGGGGAATAATTTGAATTTAAAGCAGAAAGCTGAGTTAGTGTTGCAGGGGAAAGTTTAATTCTTACATTTTTCTGTCTTCCAAACCTGTATATTAGCAGCTGCGTGATTGCAGTTCAACAGGTGCTTAAATGTTTCCTCCATCAAAGTTAAATTCATTTTTTCTTCATATTTTTTTATGTTGCAGGTTGAAAATGTGAAATTACTGGATCGTTACACGAACAGGAAGGCAGCAAACGGGACGTTGTACCTGACAGCCACCCACCTGATCTATGTAGAGGCATCTGCTGAAGTCAGAAAAGAAACATGGGTATGTCATGGTCCTTAGAGTCTGTAAAAAAGCACAAGCATGACAGTTAGTTTATATCTTGTATCCAAAATGAGCAGGTTTGTGAATTCCAGCTGGTAACGTGACTTGAGAGAGGGCACTCGCTGAGTTAGTGTTAATTCCAGGAGCATAAAAAACTTGCCCAGTTTCCTGGCTCAGACTCAATACACCAAGCCACGAACCTTCAATTCCCAGCTTTCAGAAGTGCAAAATGAGCATTGAAATTAGCTTTTTTTATTAATTCTGAAGTAAAATGGAAATAACAAACATTGCATGTGGGAGTGGGGGGAAGGCAAAGTGAAGTAGGTAAACTGAGCTGCACAAAAGATCATTTATATACCTCTGGATCCTTCCAGCCTTGCTTTTAGTTACTTATCTGTTGGGTGCACAGTCTGGATGTTTATTATGGGTTTTTTTGTATTAACAATCACAAATAAACTCATTTTCTGCTGCTAGTTAGGTGCAGTAAGCAGCAATAGCTGCTAATATAGGAGGAGCTTCACGTCTCCTTGCACTGCTCTCAGCCCTATTGCTGTCTTCTGAAAAATATCCTTTATTTCCTGCTTTTCAGATCCTGCATCATCATATTGCAACTGTAGAGAAGCTGCCCCTGACCACGGCTGGATATCCACTCCTGATCCACTGCAAGAACTTCCACGTGGCTCACTTTGTCATCGGGCAGGAACGGGACTGTCACGAAGTGTACACCTCCTTGCTGAAGCTTTCACAGCCAGGTACTGGGGACAGAGAGGGGGTTTTGCAAGTTGCTGAATCGTTGCCAACGTGTTGAGGGCAGTGCTGGGGGCAGGAGGTGAAATCAGAATCAGTTTTCACCACCAGAGATCCCCGTGGGGGTCGGCTCAGTGAGTACAGCACTGCCCCGTGGAGCAGGGCTTTGGCTTCCAGGCTAAACACAAAGCTGTTGGGAAGGAGAATGTCTCACAGGAGGAACTTCTGAAGACCTGGGCAAAGTTAATTTGCCCAACTGAGGCTGTTGGTGGCATTTCAGGCATTTTGTTTTCTTGTGCTCATGCTGAGAGTCATATCCCATACCTGCCTGGTGCTTTCTGTGTCTTGCCTCTTGGCTGTGTGTGGTTCTGCCCATTCCAGTTGATCCAGATGTTCACAGAATTCTGGAATCCCACAAACAAAGCTTTAAGCATGGGCTTAATTTGTTTCCTAACAGCATGTTGAAGCTGCTCTAAAGTTTTTTGTCTTCTATCAGCTGGGAAACCTTGTGCTTCACCCTGCCTGCCCTGGCTGGGTGTCACTTAAAGAGTGCAGGCAAAACATCCTCAAATCCTGTGGTCACTTTTGGCTTCACCTTTTTCATCCATCCTGGACAGATCTTCAGGCTCCTTGTTCTTGCAGGACAACATCCACCCAGTTTCCTACCAGGCTGTGGGAGCTGCTGGTTCTGTGGTGCTTGCAGTGAAGGAGTGTTTGCAGTCTGGTGTTATTAATTGCATGGATCCTTCTGTAATTGTGTCACTAGGCTGTGGGGAGGGAATTGGGAGCACTCTGCTCTGTGCTGGCCAGCACGTAGGACTGGGATAGCAGCAGAATCCCAGAATCCCTAGAATTCTGTTTGGGGTTGGAAGGAACCTTGAAAATTCATCAGGTCCAACCCCCTGCAGGGAGCAGGGACATCCCCAGCTAGAGCAGGGTGCTCAGAGCTCCATCCAACCTCCCCTGGGATGGTGCCAGGGATGGGGCAGCGACCACCTCTCTGGGCAGCCTGGGCCAGGGGCTCAGCACCCTCAGCATCCAAAATGTCTCCCCTCCCTCTAGCCTAAATCTCCCTCTTCTAATTTCAAACCCTCACCCATCGTCCTGTCCCAACAAGTCCTGCTCAAAAGTCTGTCCCCAGCTTTCTGGGGACAAAGGGGGTTTGCTAAATCCACCCAGAGGGTTTTTTTTAATTGTTATTAAGCCTTTTGTCTATTCCCAGCATCTCCCCAGTGCTCTGAGCTTTGGAGTTCAGTTTGTTCTGATGTTCTAAAGCTGTACCTGGCCAGGTTCTGGTGGTGTGTTTAAAAGCTGTCACCATCCTTCAGGTTGGGAAATGAGAGACTTGTGAAGCATCTGGAGGCGTGGGAGCTGTCCCTGCAAGGGATTACATCAGTCTCTTTTGTCTTGTGGTTATTTGTGTAACAGGCAGCAGCTCTTGTTTGTTCTGTGTATGGATTTGAACAGTTCTCTTTTTTTGCTGTTTTAAAATTTCTCTTTGTGCTTCTTTCATATATTTTTTTGGCAGAGCTTATAATTATGTATGATTTGCCCTGGTGTGATTGACAGCTGTGGGTTACCTGTCTGGCAACCCAGCTATTTTATCAGGCTCTGACAGGTTTCACTCTGCCTCTGGAGCTCTTGGGAATCAGCTGAAGGAGTTATTGGCTGGATTTGCATTTTGTGAAGAGAGGGAAGGAAATTGGGCTGGTAGAGATGGAGGGAGGAAGAAATTACCCTGTGTCAGACACTGCCTGAAGCTTTTGTTGGGCTGGCAAGAATATTCCAGACATCTATCAGGTTTTCCATGTGGCTCAGAGCTCACTGTTGAAGGATGAGCTTAGAGGGGTGCAAGAGCTGTTTTATGGTCTCTTCACATAAAACAAATCTTTTAGTGTATGTTTTCATTTGTGGGTTAAGTCTTACAATATAAATCTCATCTTAATATACCTTGCTGCAGTGAAATCAGTAGGAAATATTTTGCTCTGGAAAAATGACTACTTTGAAGTTTTAATTCATCCTGGCAAAATGTTTTAGTTGTAGCTCCCTGCATGTGGGAACTGAATGTTGGAAATTCCTGAGGATTTCAGCCTGAATTATTGGTAATTGGTGCTGCTCTGAATGAAAACCTGTAAATGTGAAAGTTTAAATATCTCTGCTTTTCTAGGTGGTACTTAATTTTAATTTTTATATACTCTTCTATGTAGTACTCAAATTCTGTTTATACTCTGTAGTGCTCAATATTTTTTTCATAAGGAGTGAGAATCAATCTAAATTTGTTCAAATTAGTGCAGTACACAGAGAGATAAAAGAAAACTTCATGCTCCTGATCTTGGAGGAGGCAGAAGCACAGAAAAAACAGCTATTATTAAAACCTAGCCCAGTCTGCAGCAGGGTGGCAGAGCCCTTTGGCTTCCTCAGGAAATGATTTCTGAGTCTCCTGATCTTTCTTGACTTGAGTAATTTTTTTGCAGGCCTCCTCTCAGTTTTGGTGGCTGTGCAGTGCCCTGATCCAGGAGGCGGCCTTTAGGAAGGAGCACTCACCTCTCCCTGTGCCTTTGTGTCTCTCTAACTAGCTCATTTTTCTTCTTTTTTTTTTTTCCAGTGAAACCTGAAGAACTTTATGCTTTCTCTTACAATCCTAAAATGTCAAGAGAGAGCAGGGAGATGGGCTGGAAGCTGATTGATTTAAAAGTGGATTACCAGCGGATGGGAATTCCCAACGACTGTTGGGAAGTAACAGACATTAATAAAGACTATGAGGTAATTCTTGCCCAAAGCTGCTGTTTCATGCAATCTCCTCAGTATTAAGGGCATACAGCAGTTCTGCTGCTGCACAAGGGATGCCTCTGGGGAGGAGTGAGCTCAGTTGGTTATAATGGGAGCAGTGTCCTCTTGGTGTGAAGCTGCAGGTAATGGTGCTGTGGAAGAAGAGAACAGAGCTGTAGTGTCACCTTGGGTTGCTTTGATCCCCCTGGCAGAGTACCAGGTACTTGTTCTTCTACAGGAGTATCAAACCATCTGTTCCAACAAAAGCTGAAGTACCCTCAGTGGGGTTTGGTAATTCCAAACCCTGTCCCACCAGGCTGGTGACAGATGTGTAGAAGAGAAACAACTGGCTGTGGTTTGGCTTGGTGGGGAATGAGCCAGAGTGGGAAGGATGAGGTGAGGAAGGATAAAACAGCCACGTAAAGCAGACATGGATTTTCTTTCTGCTAAATAAGGTCTCTCAGTCCTAGCTGGCTGCTGCTGTTGTCCTCTTTCTCCCCTGTAAGGCCAGGTTGGATCTGAACAACCTGAAATGAATGCACTTCTCAGCGGGCTCACTCCAGCTCCTGCTGCAGATTATTCCCCTTTATTTCTCCTGTCGTGTGCAGTCAAACCTTTCTGTTCAGAACACAAACACCTCTGAGGAAGACACCAATGCACTAAGCCTTGAACCCTTTCCCCTGCTCTCCCCTTCCTTCTCCCACTAGTTTTCTTTACCATGACCCTTCAGGGTGAAGAATTCCAAGCCCATGCTCTCAGAAGTGACTGGTGATTTTAGATGACTGTGTGTTTGGATGCCCAAATTGAGATAGGAGGCAAGAGGTGCTTCTGCCATTAGCTGATGATGGTGGGCATCTAAAATCATTAATCACTTTGAAGCTTTGCTTGCTAGTACCTATCTCTCAAATGCCATTGCTTTGTTTCCTGAGCATTTCCAGCTTATGGTTTCAAATTGTCAAGCCTAAAGCCAGGCTTGGAGAGCAGCTCAGCTGTGGAGTCTGAAAACTCATGCTGAAATTTCATGCTGAAAATACTTTTTGAGAATAAACAATAAATTATTTTCTGAGGATGCTGTGTGATCTCTGGGGAAGCTCATTGCAAGTTGAATAAGATTTAGAGGGAGTTCTAAAAAATACAACTGTTCTTAATTTCTCTTTTTGTGACGAATCAGAAATTTTCAGAAGATTTATGGATTTGAAGAACTTCCTTTTAATATGTTTTGGGTACCGTGCAGCCCATTTTTTTTAACCTCAATTGCAAAATTGTTTCCTTCACCACATTGTTTTATTTTGCCTCTCTTCCTGTGTTGTTTTCCTAAATGCATCTTAATGGCTTCAAACTTTAGATGTGGGCTGTGTAAGATCCTAGATGACGAACGGTCTGTTCCAGTCGTTTGTAAACACTGGATCAGAAGCTAAAGATGATTTTTTTTCATGAATTTTGACTTGCTGAGTAGTAATATCTGGATGTTTGGTTTTTCTTTCTTCTTGCTTAGGTTTGCAACACGTATCCTCCAGAAATAGTGGTGCCTAGAGCTGCTCCTAAGGCCGTGGTGATCGGGAGCTCGAGGTTCAGAAGCAGAGGGCGGATCCCGGTGCTTTCTTACTTGTATAAGGAAAACAATGTTAGTTACTCATCCTCCCCTGTGTTTGTTGGGGGTGAGGGTTCCCTTTCTTGCCCAGTCCCCTTCCAGTGAAAGAATGAGACAATTATTAGCACGTATTAGCTTCACATTTGAGAGTTGTTCTTCTCTTAGCAGCTTGAATATTGGTTTGTTTTGAGTCATAGTTAAAGGCAAACACTTGGGATGTGTCCAGAGCTGTGCAAGAAGCACAAACTTTCCAAGCTTCCTGGTTGGAATTTTTTCTTTGATCAACTTTCAACAGTGCTTTGTTACGTGGGGCTTTTTTATCTACTGTTTAGCTATATTGGATAATGTTTTAACAAGTGAGAAGTTAACTCAGCCAGGTTTTCTTAGCAGCGAAGAGGAGGAACCACCCTGAAATAAATCCCCAATAGCTCAGAATAAGTGAGGATTTCAATCTTTGGTTTGTTGTTTTGTTTTTTTTTTTTTTCCACTGAAGACCAGAATGTAAATTTTTAACTTTGCTGTCTCAGCAACACTTTAGATGCAGATGCCAGGAAAATGCTGTCACAGTCAAAATGTTGTTTTCCTGAGGAAGCTTCTCTTGACCCGGGCAACTCCGTGGAGTTGTGCTGGCAGCTCTAAAATTTCCCTCAGTGCAGTTCTCAGCGTGGAACAGCCAACAACTGATAAGCAAATTGTGGAAAAGAATGTTTTCTCTTGAGAATAGTTTCTCTTTGAGCTTCCCAAACTTCCAGCTTTGAGCAGTATTCCAGCAGCACTTCCGTGTGGCCGTTTAAGTAGCAGTTTTTCAGTGAAACAGCAAATAGGCCACTTGAACCCAAAAAATGGGTGGTTTTGGGGGGCAGAGATGAGCTGGAAGCAGAAACCCATGAGCTGTTGTGTGTTGCAGGCTGCCATATGTCGCTGTAGCCAACCTCTCTCTGGGTTCAGTGCACGCTGCCTGGAGGATGAACAGATGCTGCAGGCCATCAGAGAAGCCAACCCTGGGAGCTCCTTCATGTATGTTGTAGACACAAGGCCAAAGGTACCTTCCTGGGGTTTGTGGCTGCTGTTAAAGCTTGTGTCTGAGTCATGTTGTTTCCAGTTTGTTCTCTCAGAGCTCTGCTGGTGCTTTCTCATGCTGCATTAGGTTAAATCTTCTCAGGCCTCAATCAGGAATTCAGTATCAGGCTCCTGGTTTGGTGTCTTAATGTGACAAATGCTCATGCCTGAGAAAACTGCAGCACTAAGTGCTGTTAAAGCATCCTGGAGTGTTCTGGGTTGAGGTTTGTGTTAAGTGTGACCTGAAGCAGCTGGCAGCCTTGAAGCTGGCTGAGGCAGTGAAGCATTTTCACCCAGAGCTTAGTCCTTAATATCTTGAGCTGGGGAGAAACCTTTGGGTTTGGATCCAGAGGTGGAGATGTGGTGCTGGGGGACATGGGTTAGTGAGGACCTGGCAGTGCTGGGGGAACTGTTGGACTTGACCTTAAAGGTCTTTGCCAGCCAAAACAATTCTGTGTGATTCAATTCCACGAGGCTGAAGGGCTTTTATCAGCAGATCCAGGAAGAAGTGGGGCTGTATGGAGTCTGATAATGATTGAGAAAAGCAATTCCTCCTTTTTTTTTTGTCTTATCTCAAAATAGTACTAATGTTCTCGTGGTGAGCACCTTGGATGTTAACACAGTTCATCTCTCCTGGTCCACAGCCACTGTATATGAGGCTAGAACAACTGAGGTCTCTATCCAAGAGGATATTGAAACATTTGCCAAATGAAATCTCTAATAACTGTTGAGGAACTGAATTTAGAAACCAATTCAAGTGATTATGTTGGCAGCTTATTGGTTGGGGGTGCCAGTATAAGCAAATCAGGACAGAGGGATTTTCATAGTGGGCAATTATTTAATTACAAAGATTTTCCAATGTCCTGATTCCTTTCAGAGTGAGCTTTTTGAGAACCTGCTTCACTGTTCAGCCATTGCAGTTATTTTGTAGAAACTGCAGGTTTAATTCAGCTAAGGCAAGGGCAGGAAGGGAAAAAGGCTTTTGGGGAAAACTGGGAGCATTTCATTTGTTCCAAGAGGTATTTTGGCTCTTCATAGTATTCCTAGATTCCTACATTTTCTAGAGATAACATATTCTGTAGTTGTATGTGTGTTCATAGCACTGACTGCATGTTCTCTTGGTACAGGCAGCTTCCAGTATTTTAAGAAGTTCTGCTGAAATCTACCACTGATGGCAATTTTGTTCTAAAATATTTGGTAAAAGGGGGAGGATTTCTAAGGAGTCTCATTTCTCCTTCTAACACAACGTGTCTTGTACTCTCAATGCCAGAACTGAAGCAGCAGGAGGGTTATTTAATTGTTCTAAAGATGTATCTACCATACCTGACCCTTCTCTCTCTGGAGGCAAATCACTCCTCTTCCCAAATTAATATGTGGAGGTTGAGTTGCTCATTTGGATGGTCTCTGTTAAAGATTTCCTGGTGGCTTTTGAACTCTTTTGGGTAATTGTTAGAGCAACTGGCTTCTTTTCTGCTTCTTTTCTGCAGTCCCAATTGGTTGCTGTATTCCTTCTGCTCAACTTTAATATTTCTGTGTTTCCCTCAGGTGGCTTTATTTCATCTGTGCATGTATGTCTATGAAAAGCTTTGGAATTCTCTTACTATTTCTATACCACCATGTATGTATGTTACTCAGACAAATGCCTTTCCTACTTTTACTTTCATATCCTTCTGTCTGAACCTTTTTGTGGAGCTTCACAGTTAAGGCAGACTCAGGTCTCTGTACCTGTCCTGATGACAGCAGTATTCTGAAATTGGGCACAGTTTGGATACTCCCTATACTACAAATTCTATCCAGGGACTTAATGAGTCTCTGCATGTGACTAATGGCCTGGAGACACTGGGATAATTTCAGTGAAAGAGCTGGAAACACTGCCTGGGTGGTGGGGAGTGTGCCTGAGTAACAGCTCTGTGCAGCATCTTCTGGGAGACTGAAAAAAATGAAGGACTTGCAAAACAGACTCCTTTATCTCTGCATATTTGTTGTCATTTTCTCTTTCTTTCCTCTCTTCCTGTTCCCTGGAATCTGACAGTTAAATGCCATGGCCAACAGAGCTGCTGGGAAGGGTTATGAGAATGAAGATAACTATGATAACATTCGCTTCAAATTTATTGGCATAGAAAACATCCATGTGATGAGGAACAGCTTGCAGAAGCTGCTGGAAGGTAGGTGTGGCCCATGCAGGTGCCCTGTCCTCATACCCTGGGCTGCTTCTGCCCAGAACCTTTCACTGAACATCTCAATCCTGCCTGGAGTGAGATTAAAATCCTTTCCTGCTAGACATTTATTATTGTCCTTAGTTTTATAGCTGGTCACACAAATACTAACAACATCCCTTAACTGTGTTAGCTGCAGACAATCCAAATCTCCTAAATGTGCCAAATGAAAAGAAAAAGCCTAGAGAAGTGCTACATTTGACCATGGAGAGGGTCTCCTGGTCACCTTGTGAGTTGCTGAAAGAAAACTAACACAGGTTATTGAGGAAATATTTTCCCTGGGTTGAGTTTAGAGTATTTCAGTGTTAAACAGTGTTTCAGATTTGAAATAAAATTTTGCCATGATCTTCCAAAGACTTGAATCTCATACATACATAGTCCCTCTTTTTCATTTCTTTCTGATTTCTTGAATGGCACTTGTTTTTAAACATTTTAAAGTGTATTAAATGAATGTTTCAATACATTAAAATGCAGAGTAGCTCAGGCAGTTAAGATACTCTGTGAGACTGTGGTCTTAGAGGAAGAACGTGGAGCAGGACAGAAGGAATACTCACCTGAGCCACTGGAGATCAAGAGGTGAACCAGGCCTGTATTTTCATTAATGTAATTTTGGAGGAGTTCCATCAAAGGTGAGGGTGTAGCTTGGATCAAACCAACACACTGTTAAATGCTCTCCAGGGCTCTAACCATCCTTTGGCAGAGCAGGTGCTGCAAAGCTGCTTGGTCCCTGTGCTTGGTTTTCTAAAATGTCATACAAGTGCTGTCATTCTAAATAATATTTTGAGTACCAGCTTAATGGCCATCTTGCCTCAAAATAGTTGAATAATTGATGTTGCCCATTACCTGGCCAGGCAGCACCACAGGATCTGTGATCACCTTGGAGAAAAATGAGGCTGTTCACAGAACCAAGAGAATGGCCTCATCACAAGTCTAAGTCCCCTGTTGCTGGTGGGAGGTTTATTTTGTGGTGGAAGAAGAGGCAGAATAAATATGTTACAGTTTTTTAAAAAAAGGAGGATGTTTTCAGATCCTCAAGTTCTCTCAGAGCTAAAAATCACTGGTTTGTGTATTAAAGTGTGTGGCCAGTGGTTAGTGTCCTGTGGACAGGATATTGCAGCTGACACTTGAGTGTGGAAGTGTTGGCTTTCAGCATCTAACCAGCTTCATTTGCATTTATTCTGTGAGGAAATCATGAGGAGGTGGGAAAAAAGAGAGACTGTTAATGGAGTGTCAGCTAATTGCTCTGTTTGTGTTCTCAGTGTGTGAAATGAAGTCTCCCTCAATGAGCGATTTCCTCACTGGGCTGGAGAACTCAGGTTGGTTACGGCACATTAAGGCTGTGATGGATGCAGGTGTCTTTCTTGCCAAGGTAAAACTGTACTCCAACCTGCAGGGGGTGTTAAAAGAGATGTAGGTGTCTGTTAGGGACTGCTCCAAGGCTGTGAAGTTGTCTCTGGAGAGAAGGTGGGGAAACATTGCTCTTCAGGTTGGCCTCAGCTCTCAAAACCAAGCCTTCAGTTGGAGAACATCAAGTGGGTTACCCAGCTGGTTCTCTCCTAGACACTTCTGTGGCTCAGGGAAATGCTGGAGGGGTTGGGACATTGGCCCTTCTGCTGTGTTGTAGCAAGCAGCTCTCTAGGCTTTATTAGAACAAATAAACTCAGAGAATATGAATAAATATCCTTTATAAGCATGTCAGCATAACACATGTTTAGCAGTGCAAACAACTCATAACCTTGTGCTCATTAGTTATTGATCTGCTCTGCTTTACATGAGGGATTATTTAGACCAGTTTTATTTTCTCCTGCTTCTGGGTGATTTTAATTCTGATTATTCAGTGCAGTCCTTGTTCCTGCAGAGCTGGTGGCTTTGAAGAAGAGTCACCAAGGCACGTGGCTCTGCAGTAGTAGAGGGTGTGCAGGAAACATGTGGCAAGAGTGATGTCCTCCTCTAAATGTTAGCTTTTATTTTAACATTGTCCTGTGTAGCAAACAAGAAGCTATTTTGTGCTCTTTTTCTGCCACTGGTGGAAGGGGAAGAAGCTGAATCCATAGGGGAGAGAAGTTGGGACAAACTCTTCTTATTTTCCTTGAGAAGTTCCAAGTCCCCGTGTGTCTAATTATTACCTTTTGCTCATCCACCGAATTTTTCCTCTGAGAAGGGGGACTGAGAAATTCTTGGCCTTTCAGAAGACTGAGTGTTCTAAGATCAGAGGGTCTTTGTTTCTTGGAGGTCTGTGTTGCTGAGAAGATGTGCTGCAGCATTTTGTTCTGTGGGGTTTCCTGTGGGTTGGTGGCCACGTGCCCAGACGCGGTCCATGGCCACGCTCCTGAGAAGGGACAAATTCTCCTCTTGAGTTTTAGCCCAGCTGGGTAAATGGAGATGAAGGGGTGGCACTTAATTAGGGTAACCAACCCAGAGAGGTGCTCAAGTGTTGTGTCTGGTCCCTCCTCCCAGGCTGTGAAGGATGAAAGAGCCAGTGTGTTGGTGCACTGCTCGGACGGCTGGGACCGCACCGCGCAGGTCTGCTCCCTGGCCAGCCTCCTCTTGGATCCCTTTTACAGGACCTTCAAAGGCTTCATGGTAAGGACACGACTGTTGGAATTTCAAAAATAATAAGTGCTTCCTGGATTTGTAATGTAAACAGGCCCTAATTAAATGTTTTAGGCCATTTCCTGGAACAAACAGTAGGTGACCTATATAAAAGCGGCTTTGATTCTACAAACAAGCTTTAATTGCTCTGAACAGCACAGGCACAAAATGGCAGGGGTTGATTTACAATTCCCAAATCTTTGTCTCCTTGAATTGTCCACATGAGAGCCACTAATGAGACATTGCAGCAAGAGATGAGGGAGCAAAGGATGCAACTCTGGCAGCGATCCACAAAGAAGTAGAGAAGCAGGTTGTCATTTAAACTTTTACAGCAAATGGTCTCGTATCTGCTAGGATTGAAAATTGGGTGAACTGATTCTTGTGCACAGGGCAGCAGCTAACCTGGATATCATCTGAAATCTGTGCATCCTTTAAGACCTTCTTTAAAGCCATGACACGTGAATTTGGCTGTTTGCTTCTGTTGCAGGCTCGTTCTCATTTGAATCCATCACTGCATAAATGTAGAGCAATCTCTGATGTGATCTTTCCATTCATCTCCTTTTGTTAAACCCTGAGAGACAGACTGCTGCCCGTTCTCAGAAGAGCTCCTTCAAAGAAACCCTGAAATCACAGCTATGCCAGTTTTGCCTCCTCCAGTGTGTTGCACTGCTAGGACTCTTTCCTTGCATTCTGTGCTGTTTTTGTTATTATTGCCAGTACAGCTTCTGCATGATCCTGCAATCTTTTTAACAGCTAAACTGACACCAGTGTGTGAAACATCTGCCTGGGCTTTGGCTGTGCTCTGGATGATTCTGTGTGAGCTAAGAAGGATGATTTTCATTAGGAACAGGAGCAGTGACTAAAAGAGACAAATGCTTATCTGCCCCCTGAGCAGATGATTTTTCTGTGCCAGTCCCATGGCAGTGGTTATTCCTAAATGAACATATTGGAAGTGTAAAGAATGGCATAATTTTGAAAAGCAATATATAGCTTAAGTTTTCAAACAACTCTGTTGTGAATTTCTGCCTTTTTTTGGTTCTTTTAAGTCTCTAGATGATGATATCAGGAATTGATCTTTAAATATGATCGAGCAAGGCAAGTAATAACAGATTCAGCATCAGTCATTTGGTTCTTTATGGGATGTATTTAAGGAAAATCCTGCTTCCTTGGTATTTTCTTATATATATAGCACAGACATTCTATTTAAAAGAATAAATAGCCATGTAGTTTTTCTGGTTTCATCCTGAGCTCCTCAACACCCAGCTGTACTTTTTACATTCCTATTTGTCTGTTAAACATTTGCTGAATTCCAGTTGCTGATTTATTTTGCTGAATAACAGTTCATTCTTTTCTGAATTCAATAGTGTAATATTAAGCTGTTCATTCTCCATGGGGTTGTATGACATAAAAACATTTAAACTCCCTGAAAATAGCACTGGACTTGCTTGAAATAACTCTTTTCATGGAATTCTATTGATAACACTCAGAAGGTAACATTGGTTGCAGGCTTTTTAGAGCTTAACATCAAAGCTTCACTTTGCTTTTTCTAAGGAAAGTAATGCTCTGTTTTTTGTTTCTGTTTTGAAATGGAAGATTCTGATAGAAAAGGAGTGGATTGCAATGGGCCACAAGTTCTCACACAGGTAAGAAGAATGTGTTACCTTTGGGTGCAGTGACTGCCTGGGAAACTAATACAGTGTTGTCAGGTTCAGGTACTCCCATGAGAAATGTAAATGAAGATACAAGACAGAGGAGGGAAGATCTGGAAAATACTGGAGTGGTGCCATAAAGCCACTGTCTGCTGGGGTTGTCATTTCATCAGTGCTTTTTTTATTACTTTACAAAGTCATGCAGTCTTGAACAAATCCTTTGAATTCTGAGGTGGTTTCCTACCTGTAAAATCATATTCATGTTATATAATGACTGCTAATGTTCTGGCAAGACATGTTAATTCTTCTGCAGTCACCTCCTGGAGGAAAACCTCAGCTGATGTTTTTCAGGACTTTTACCAAGTTGAAAGCATAAACTTGAGTCCAGTGTAGTTCTAAAATCCAGCTTGACCTGCATTCTCTGGGTGGATTAAAAATGCCATCATTCCTGTAGCTGATAGCCTGCATCTAGTAGGGATATTATCCTGGATTATTTCATGTTATATTGAGTATATAGAAATTAGAAACTGAGGTGGTCCAAGAGAATATGAGGAGGGAAGGGACCAATCTTTTCAGTGGTGTTAGCCTGTTAAAAATTGAAGCTTTGTTCTCAATATCAAACTGCTTCCTGATTTTAATAACAAACCAAATTGATTTCCTTAAAGCATATCTGGGGAAAATAAACAATGTGCACACCCTTGCACTGATACATAAGAAGCAGAAGTCAAAAATAAACTGCTCTTCAGTCATTATTGGCCAAGTAAATGTTCTTTGGTCATTGTTTCTGCTCCTTTAGGGATTCTTTTCACCTTTCTTGCTTTAAGACCAAGAAAAGCACCAAACGAAATACTCCTCCTATTACAAAGGATTGTTCCAAATATGGCAATGGATGCAAAAAGTAATTTCAGTATTGACTGAGAGTACAAACTTCTATTTCAGTAAACAAAATCATTGTTCTCATAGTGGTGGCCAGTTCTGAGGGAAACAGATCCATCTTCTTGCTGCTTCTTGGGGTGTTGTGGTCGGAGTCACAGAACTGGGGTTTCATCAGCTAAATCTCTGTCATAAGAAATTTTACTTCATTTTCCACTCCAGTTTGGGGACTGCCTCATTTCTTCCTGTGGATTTCCAGGTTATATCACTTCCTAGGAAAGGAAGATTCTGCCCCAAGGTTTTTGTCTCAAGAAAAAACAGTCTGTACAGTACCCCAGAGTGCTGACTGCTTTCCCAAGATGCTGTAATCCCTTTTCTGGTTGTTCTTCCTTTTGTGATGGGCTGTAATGAACACTAACAGATCCCTGGCTAGATTTTTGCAGAACTAGTAGGATTTTACTGAACTCCATCTAAAGCTGTAAAAATAATCTTTTTTTATTGTTGTTTTGATGATTTCTTTGTTTTTTCTTTTTCTTTCTGAGTCGTTGCCTACGAGGATTTCATTCCTGATGTCCACGTGGAGCAAACTCAGGTTGTTCTGTTGCTGCCCATTGTGGCTGTGGCTGCACCATCAGATATTCTCACATCCATAGAGGACAGGGTTGGGTTTTTCCATCCCACCACTGTTTCTTCTTTTCCTGGCTGTACAGATGCCATAAGATAAACCACATCATTTTTTTTTGGCCAACTCTGCAAGAATAATTTCTTACTCCAGTAGTGAAGAAAACTTCCCAGTGGTTCAATCAATGGTGAAGGGATTCTTTGGCTGGGTGACACAGGATTTACCCCTGTTCTGTTTCCCCCTCTCTAGGTGTGGCCATTTGGATGGTGACCCCAAGGAAGTGTCCCCTGTCTTCACTCAGTTTGTGGAGTGTGTCTGGCAGCTCACACAGCAGTGCCCCTGCGCCTTCGAGTTCAACGAGCGCTTCCTCCTGGAGATCCACGACCACGTCCACTCCTGCCAGTTTGGCAACTTCCTGGGCACCTGCCATAAGGAGCGTGAGGATCTGAAGTGAGTCGACAGCTAGCTGATAGTCTAGAAGTCACTTCAGATGTCAGGAAGAGAGCTGGTCATGTTTGCAGGCTTTTAATGGAGTTGTAGATTGGTTAACTAGTTAGATGGACCCCTGAGCAACCTGCTCTGCTTGCAGATGTCCCAGCTCCCTGCAGAAGGGTTGGACTAGATGACTTTTCAAGGTCCCTTCCAAGCCAAAGCAGTCTATGATTCTACCATCTCATGCTTATGAAACTAATCAAGATACTGTGTAAAAATAATTTTAACTCCCTTACTCTAATTCCACTCAGAACAGCTAGTGTTATTAATCTGCTTAACTTGATTCTTTTATTTAGTGATTAAATGTTATTTGTAATTGACAGAATCTTTGAGAAGACCCATTCTCTGTGGCCTTTCCTCTTACAGAAGAAGCAGGAGTTCAGAAATCCTTTGTACAGAGGATTTACAGCTTACAAAGAGCTTCAACCAAACACACTACCTTTCAGTTTCCAGTAAGTTGCTTATTTAAGAAGGGGAGGAGGGGGCATTTCTTTCATTGTCATGTAGATTGGTGATCCCAATTGCATAAATTCTCACTGATTAGCATGGTTTGTTTTACCTTTCCCCCTCCATTCCTCACACATAAACTGAGAGTATTAATCCACGGGTGCCTGTGAATCATAAGGCAAAAGTGCTTAAATACTTTTTGAACTTGATGAAAATTGCCCATTGATACTAAACTTTATAATCTGAGGCTGTGGCACTTTTAAAAGGTCAGTTGTTAATCTCAACTTGTTGAATTTTTAATTTTCTTAAACACCATAGAGTTTGTTGGGCACCTAATTGTCTTTTCTTGCCCTGTTCCCAAGGTTTTGGTGTGGGATGTATAATCGCTTTGACAAAGGAATGCACCCAAAGCAGCATGTGTTGGATCATCTGCTGAGCTGCATGAGCCAGAAGATGAAACTGGAGGACAATGCATCTGAGCTGGAAAACGTGGGTCCTGAGTCTGAGTGATCTTTACAGTCACATGGTGGTTTTGGCAAATAGAAGTGGGATTGAACGTTGGCACCCAGCAGCTGTTCCAGCTGGGCAGAATGAGGAGTTAAATGCCATAATAAAGGGGGTTGGTTTACCCCAAATTCTCATCCCCTAGGTAAAAGCTGCCTTGGCTCAAGTTCTGTTGCAGGCTGATGATGTTCTAGTTCTGGAAGGGAAGCAGGTGTTGAAAGAGCAGCTGGGTTTCAGCTCCACTTTCAGCAAACTCTTGAGGGAGAGAGGAAAAGAATGGACCCCATTCTCCCCCCCACCTGAGCGTGGCTTTTCTCTGTTAAAGGCTCTCTTGCAATATCCTTTCTATACATAGTAAAAAAAAAACAACCAACCAAACCAGAAAACTGCTAAAATACAGTAGTGGGAGAGTCACCTGAAAATACACAAGAGAGAAGACACATCTCTGTCCTTTGCCAGGTTACTGTGCATGCTGAAAGCATTAGTTTTGTTAATTAAATGGTGATGTTTGTCTCAAACATGGAAGGGTCTGTGCCCCTCTGCTTTAACTCCACCTTACAGAGCTGGAGGAGAGGCACTGGCACAGGACTGTTGTGTTGGCAGTTGGTCTGTTGCATATCCCTGACATTTAGGAATAATAGCTCTCGTTAATTATGTTTTTTAATCTCTTTTTATCTGTGTAGAAGCTTCCTTTCCTCGATGGTCCTCTGCCCAGTGAAGCTTGCTCCTTGTCCAAAGGAGGACGTGCTGCTTCAAAGACCCCAATGCTCAACACTCCTCAGGATTACGAGGGGGAACCACCTCCTGCACTGAGCAACGGTGCCCCAGCAGCAGACACAGACCTGCTGCCTGAGGGGGACCAGAAGGACACAGAGAACCTGTCTGAGCACCAGGACCTCCATGGTCTTCGTGGGACCACTGGGATTTTGGACTCTGAAGCTGAGGGCGGAGAGCCGCGGCAGCACTGACGGGCTCTGGGGAGCACGGCTGGTGAGCCAGGCCTGGGTGGTGGTGCAGCACGAGGGAGCTGCTGCCCCTGTGAGGGTGGAGACCCTCTCACCATTGTCAGCTGAGTGTGAGTACCTCTGTTTGCAGGGGGCTCTGCTCACAGAGCGTTTGGTTGGTGTCATTGTGCAGCTGAGGTGCGTACGGAGCTGCTCAGAAGGCTGCCTTGAGCTCCTGTAAACCTTAATTTTCAGTGGAAACGTGGTGTGTGTTTAAGGTTTACCTGCCAGATCTTGCATTGCAAGCTGAAAGGAATCTTGACCTGTTAACATGGGGCTTGGGTGCAGTGTTTATAACAGGAGGAGGACAGATTCCATCCATTGATTCTCAGTCATGGTGCCGGGTCATCTTGGAACGATAAAATTCAGTTCATCTTAAAATTGACAAAGAAAACCCAACACCTTTTCTTAGCTGTGAATGAATCTGTGCATGGACCATCACCTTGTGGCAGAACTGATTGGGTTTTTGTTTCCTATGCATATTTGTTAAAACAAAACCAAACCCCCCTGTGCCTTTTTTCTGGAGACCGTTTTAATGTCTAGCCACGCAACGTCCTGTTTTTATTGGTGTAGTGTAGAGTGTAGTGTTTGGTCTTCTTTGTAATCAGTATTTTTAAAGAAGGTTTTTTTTATCTGCTGCCAGCTTCTGGGGGATCTTTGCTGATCCCCTGAGTTCAGTAGCTTCTTTCTAAGCCAACCTTTCAAAGCATAAGCTTTTATTGACCTCATTTACTGATTGTAAGAATGCAGCAAGCCACAAAGGCAGCCTGTAATACAGGAATTTTTGACAGAAAGAGGATTAGAAATGAGATAACATAGGAAAAAAAAAATCCATATGGAATTTTTCTCTCTTGTTTTATGATCTTGGTTAAGTTGAAGCAAGAGAGCAGCTCTTTGTTCTTAGGTGGAATCGATGTGGCTTCCTCACGGCCATCAATGGGGCAGTAATTACAGCCTCTAATTATGGTGTGGTCTGTGATGGAAATGGGGCCTCAAATGATCATTCCACATCCTGTGCTGACTGATTAGAGTGAATGTTATCTTGGGTGTTAAAATGGCACAGGTATTAGAGATGTTTTGTCTGTACTGTCAGGATGGGATGAGATGAGCAGTACCTCTGAGCTTTGTCACTCTGAAGCTGGTGGCAGAACATAAGTGGGGATGTGACCCATCAGTAGGATGAGAAGTGGACATCTCAGCTCCTGGCTGTAGCCCCAGCTTGGATTCACTCCAGTGCCTGGTAACAGCACTGCCTGGTTTCTCTAAACTGCAGCAATCCCAGCTGGATTAATGACAGGGTTTATTTCAGTGTTCAAGATAAAATAGAAAAGAAAAATACCAACAAAAACTCCCCTGAGTGTCTCACTTTAAGTAAGAAAATATGTATTTTGCTAAGCACATCAAAAGACCCAAGGAAAAGGGCAATGCTTGAGAACACAGTTTCTTCAGTGCCTAGAATGGCAAAGAGAAACTCTTCTTTTAATGTTGCAGGTTTTTCAATCTTAAGTAGTATAATTGTTTTCAGAGGTAGGAGTGAGAGAGCTACAATGTGGTGGATCTAAAAACCTAGTGCATGAAGTCCCAAACCAGGTATGCTCAAGCAGAAGGTGTGTGAGATGTGTTGTGTGGGTGCTTCTCAAAACCCCTGCACCGTGCAGCGGCCCTGGGGTTTAGTTTGAAGGGTGCACATTTCCAGATGCATCTTTTATCTCCAGACAAGTGTCTGCTGCTGAGTCTCTTGGCTCCTAACGAGGGATCTGCTAAGCTCCTGACATGAAGTTGGTTAGTCTGCCAGGCTTTTAAGGTTGCCATATCCCCCTGCTCCTCGAGCAGAGGTTGCACCCTAACTCTTAATCCGGCTGCTCTAGATACCCAGGGTTTGGAATCTGCTGCTGGTTTCCACTGGAGGGTGCTGGGAAGATTATTTCCCTTCACCTCTGGAGAGTGTGAAAGCCCAATTCCACATGTGCACTTTGGAGCCTGTTTGGTGTGGTCTGATGGGTCAGCCTTGTCTTGTCTTTCTAGCTGTAGTGGGTAGCATGCACAGAGGGCTCTAAAATGGTAAATGAGACCAAGACAGGCACTTGGCAGGACCAGTTATTCTAGGTGCCATCTGTTCTTCCCATGTCTTCTCTGGTGACAATTAGAGATACAGAGTTGTAGAGAATTTTGACTGACTACTGAAGGGTTTAGACATGCCACTGGTTAATTGTTGTATAAAAACATCTTGCAGGTGTCTAGAAATGTTTACACATTGCCTTGTGTTCTGAACGACCACAGATTACCTTGCAAAAAAGTCTAATAGTCTTTGCTTCTCCCTGAAAACATGATGCTGACATCTCCACAAATCCTTCCCAGCTATAATATGAACGACAGGTGCATTTAACCATGAAAAGATTACTTCATATGCTGGAAATATTAGTGAGCTTTTAGTAATCTTGCTGCTTTTAACTTCAGTAACAAAACAACGGATGACTTTAAACTTTGAAATGCAAAGCTAGCAAAAAAAGGAAAAAAAAAAAGGGATATTGGTCTGTCTTTTTAAACCTCTTGGCTATAACGTGTACAGACATGGCCAAAATGTACAAACCATTCATGCTGGTGCTGGAAATTCAGAGCTGGAAAAGGTTCCAGGGTTTTGTTTTATTGACAGATGATTAGCTGGAAGCTTTTTGCTTTTGACGGTAACTCTCGTGTGTCTCAGGCCCAGAGGTGAGAAGCTGCTGGGAGCCCTGCAGCGTGTCCTCAGGTCTCTGCTCAGCCAGGACCAGCTTCCCAGAGCCTGGCTCAGCCTTACTGAGGGCCCCAACATGAGTGATGGGACTGGGAGTTCCCCAAAAGTGTTACAGGAAGTCTCAAAGCTGTTCCGTAGGAATCGGTGAGGAGTTACCAGAATTCCTTATCCCTCGTGGAGCATCCGTGCTTGTGAAGTCACCAGTGCTGTGTTTTATTGGGAATTGTTAAGGGAACAATGCAACTTGCTGCTTTCCACCTGGATTCCTCTGGCTGGGAGGGAGGAGGGATCCTCTTTGCTGCCGTTGGGCTCTGTTTGTGTAGAACTCCTCCTTTTCTGGAGCTTTACCAAGGTACTCCCTGGTGTCGTGGGGACCCTCCTGCTACAAAAGGTGTAGCAGGGCAGTGGGCAAGTGCCTGCAACACTCCACGTTCACTGCTTCAGAGTAGAGGAGGGACTCATCTGTGGTTTTCAGCTGAAGTGTCTTAATGTGAACCTCACAATGCTGCATTCTTAAGCTGTGTTTTGTTTTGCAGTTGTCACCTGTGGTAGAGAAAATCCAACTGGTGCTGCTTGGAAACAAAAAAAGGGAATCCTTGTTTTGCCCCCATAGATCTTGTTGTTCTTGGTTGACCCTCTTTGGTGGGAGAGGAGGAGCTGTTAAAGCTGATGGGCACAATATGCTTCTAGCTGCATGTTCTGCTCCTGCTCTTAGAGGACACCTCTCATTTCAGTGCACAGGAGAAAAATCCACCTGCTCAGTGGGTACTCACTGGTACTTCAGGCTACCCTGACCAGGGTGGAGAAGACTTGCTTGGAGGTAGCTGGTTAGCTTCAGTAAGCTGCTGGGGTCCTGGCTGAGAGCTCTGCTGGGAGCTGAAGGTGCTCATAGCTTCACAGGAGCTCTGCTGGAGTTACACCTCCTTGGGCTACGGGTGGAAACCTCCGTGCTGGAGGTGCACCCTGTGTGTTGTGTCCATCAGCTTTGGAGGTGCTGAGTGAGCCTTTGGAGGTGCTGAGTGAGCCTTTGGAGGTGTTCAGAGAGAGCACCCCTGGACCCAACAGAGCTGTAGCACCTGCAGGGAAAGCACTTTGGAAGAGCTGTTGTGGCAGGTACTGCTGCAGCCCCTCCCTGGCAGCCCTGGTCTTTGGGGAGGTCGCTGCCTGAGCTGTGCTCCCCAAAGGGCTCGTTTCTTGGCATCATTTGGTGATGGAGATTCACGAGGGACCAGGAGAATCCCAGCAGAGTCTGCTCTCTGCTCTTCTCCCCTTCCCACCACTCTGCACCGAGGGCTGGGGTCACTGTCTGTAGGGACCAAACGCAGTTACTCCTCGTTTACACACTGTCCCTCACACACCGTGCCTCGGGGTGGAGTGGGGGAAGAACCTCTCCTGAATGTAGCCCTTTTGTTTTAATTGATACACAGCACTTGATGACTTAGAGGAGGAACATCTGGAGCCAGCTGACGTTCAGGTCCCTGGTTTTGGTAAGCACCTGCAGCCCTGGGAGCAGCCGGGTCGGCGCCAAGCGCCGTTGGGCTCACTAGTGAGGGTGAGTCTTTAAACACACAGTGCTGCTGGGTCCTCGTGGCATCTGGGAGCTGTGGGAGCAGTGCAGGGAGAGGGAAGGTTCAGGTGGTGACCTCCATCTCCTGCCACTGACCTGTGTCTGCCTGTCTGTGCCTCCCGTGGCGCCATACTACTGGAGTCACTCGCAACACTGGATGTAGTCGCGCGTAGCTGAGCACACACACACACAGACTTCTGTCACCCACCTTGTGGGGATGGCCCCAAAGCTGTGTCCTCGGCCAAAACCTGTGAGTCTTCGTGCTGTTTGTGTAGGTGGGTGGCTGTTCTCGTGGGTGTAGCTGTTGAGGAGTGATTGTGCAGAGCTGTGGGTCTCTGCGCTGCTCACGGCGGGTCGTGCCGTGCTGAGAGGAGCACTGTGGCTTCTTCCTCTAAATGTACTTGTTTCCGTGGAGTTCCACTTGTATTATGGTTTATTTTTATTCCCTCCAAAAATAAACAACTTGCCTTTTTAAAGGAATTGACCAGGCTCTTTGTTGTTGGTTCGTTGATCCCCGAGCAGAGCTCCAGGCTTGGAAATGTCAAGTCAATGAAAGACTCTGAGTAGCAGAGCTTGTCCTAAACTCCCAAACAGGAGCTGGGTGACCTCACTGCTTCTGGGGGGACTGCTGAGTGCAGCAAGGCTCAGTGTCTTAAAAACATA